TTGGTGTTGTTGACGATGACGGTAGCGACGGAGCTCTGGCGTTTGAGAGCGGACGAGAATTGGAAGCGGCGGCGGATGTGTACGAGTTCGGCTTGGGATTTGGGGGTAGTCATGGTGGCTTGAAGTGTGTCCTTCGCTCCGAGTTTCCAGCCGAGAGACTGGAGGGTTGCCTTTTCCATAGGCTCTCCAACAGTCTCACCATCGTCGAGTTTGACCAAGGCGTGAGCGGCGGCGAGCACCAGCGTTGTCTCAGTAGCAACGTCCGTAACCTTTGCGAGATCGGTGTGCGCACCGTCTGCTGCAACCGTAGCACCATCCTGGCCCAATGATAGTCCAGCAATGCCGTCCACGACCAAGTCTTCACCAGTCAAAGTACCGGTCTTATCGAAGCAGGCAACGTCGACCTGCCCAGCGAAGGGAATGCGGAAGGGTTCGGTACAGAAGATGGCGTACTTGCTCAGAGCAGCGAGGGAGGTGTTGACGGCCAAGCTGAGCTCCATGGGAAGCTCGGGCGGGACGACGCTGGTGACGATGAGGACGCAGTCGAGGAGCAGCTTGTTACGCTGGCGGTCGAGCCTGACACCCTCCTGCCAGACGTACCACGAGGCAGCGACGGCGAAGACGGTAAGGAAGAGAATGAAGAAGAGGGCTTCGACGTTGTTGGCGGAGACGCGCTCGGTAGCGAAGATCATGGTCCTGACGAGGCTGCCCTGGTTAGTCTCGAAGCCAGTCTTGATAACAACAGCAACAGCGCCCTTGTCCGGGGGCGGTGGGACACCAGACGAAAGCCTGGTGACGTTGCCGCCATCCTCCTCAGCGTCGCTACCGTGCGAGACCTGGAGCACCTTGGTGCCGCCCCAGAGGAAAGAGTTCTTGTCCAGACCCTCAGGCTCGATGCGCGCATCGCCAGGTCGCAGTTGTACCGATTCCTTGAGCACCGGTGTGCTCTCTCCGGAAAGCATAGCCTCGTTGACGATCGCGGAGCCCTCGAGGAGGAGCATGTCGCACGCCACACCAGAGTCTTCCTTGGTCCGGCCTGCGCTGACGACATCGCCGGGTAGCAGCTTGTCGCTCATGATCTCCTGCCACTTCTTCTGCCTGTACACCAGAATCTCATAGGGCTTGATGCTCATGCCGCGGAACTCGTTCAGGGTCCTCTGTCTCTGCCACACGACGGTGCTCTCGAAAGCGACCAGCATGAACAGGGTGAACAGCGAGTAGTACCAGTATTCGTCCAGCATCCACAGTCCAACGCAGAAGATCTGGAAGACGAAGAAGGGCGCGACGGCGTGTTCCTTGAACAGCTCGGTGAAGGTCGGGACGGGGATGTCGAACGCGTTGTCGCCATAGTGCTGGGTGAGGCGCTCAATCTCGGCGGGCGAGGTGAGGCCCTGGGTCTGCTGGAACGTCTTGAGCTGGGGCTTGGGTTCGATGTCGAGCGGGTACGAGAGCGGGGCGAAGGAGCCTTTCTCGGCGTCGTAGAGGAAACGGCGCTTCTGGAAGAGGAAGGAAAGGTTCGACTTTCCGCCCACGTTGTCGCGCACCAATGGCACAATCTCAGCGGCACCCGCGTTCTTGACGGGCTGCACTTTGATAAGCGATGCCGAGCGCACGTCGCTGGCCGAGGTGGTGGTGAAGGCGCTCTTGAGGTTGACGTTCCAGTGCGTCATGAGCCAGAAGAGCGACTGGAAGGTGGTGATGCTGGCGACCCAGACAAAGGTCCATTCCGACGACTGGATGTACTGCTCGTAGCGCTGCGGCGAAAAGTAGATGGCGGAGAAGGCGGGCCACACTATTAAAAAGGGCCAGATGTACGTGTGCAGCTGCAGCGGCAGCGGGTTGTGCAGGCTGGCCTGCTTGATCTGGGGGTTGTCGACAAGCGGGGCCATGGTTGTGGTTGTCGTGTCCAGACGAACGTCAGTCCTCGAAGATTATTGAGACCCTTTGCCTTCGCGCCCGCCGCCGTCGGCGCTACTTTGCCCGATGCACGTGGCGGAACATTCACGAACATGGATTGAAAGCGGATTAGCGTCCGCCGTGATTGGTCCGTCTGCTCAACTCCTCCATCTCGAAACGTTCTGTTTTTACCGTGAAAGGCTTCACTCTCTTTATTCTACATCATCTATCAAACAATGAAGAGTACACGGTGGTCGCGGAAAACCCCGTCAGCGACCCTCTGCAAAGCGCCGGCCCTCGCAGCCGCATCACCTCTGCCCAGATAGCATCCATCCGATCTTCGAAAAACGTATCCGTCCATGCGACATGCCGCATCTCATGCTCAAGATGCTGTCTACTTATAATCTGCCTCTTTCCACACAGTTCTGATAGCTGCGCGATCCACCACATGCGCTCTTCGCCTGTAGCGACACAACTCGCAACGACCAGAACCCACAGCAGCATGTTGAGATTCTTCTCTCGTCTCCATATTTCCACTATCGGTGCATTCAGTCGATCCAGAGCGGCACGTAATCGAGAAAGAAGGATAGCGAAGATCTTCGTGTTCAATGGTAGTGCACGAAGTACCGCATATACGAAAATGAGGGCTGCTGCAAGTAGGGCCTCAACCACACTCGCCGCATCCGCTCTAGCCTTGAGATGATCGTAGAAGTCGCTTTTCTCGTCATGGATGCTCTGGTCAAAGTGCAGGAAGTTGTGTGAGTGATCAGGTACCGAGAGAATCATGAACTGCGTTTCGTAGAGGAGATTGCTGAGAGTGAGGCGCTCCACACGACCAACCCAGTGCGACGATACTGCTAGCGCGAGTCGATGGAGTCGATAGAATATGTTGAAGCAGTCGACCGCGCCGCAAGAAAGGTGGAGCAGTGACGTGGGCGACGTTTGTGCCGCTTCTTCTCTGAGGTTGTCCGGCAAAGGAGGCGTATCCGGGTCCAGACTGATTTGCGGGAAAGATGGATGCGCGCGAGAGACTACTGAAGAGTGAAAGTCCATCCTGTCAGGTGGTTTAGCGATGAAACTACGCCACAGGTGGCATTGAGCTTACCATATGATGCCACGCAGCAAGCCATCGTTGTGTCCAAAGGCAAACAGCCCACCTCGCACTTTCACCATACGTTCCAATGCTGTGATGTGAAGCTGGGCCGCTTCGTAGTCTCCAAGAAGGTTCTGGAACAGTTAGCATGGGCCATTTCACAGGAAGACGTGCTCATACCTCGAGATTTGCCAAAGTCAACACAGTGGCAACCACCTCATCCGATATATAGCCTCCAGACGTCGCAAGTCTGCAATTGACAATCTTGATTGCTTCATTCTTGTGCTTTAGTTTGCAAACTCTCAAGTCAGTGTATTCATTGGCCAGGATGCCGTATAGTGCCCAGCTTGCCAGAGTTGCGTGTAGCAAGCCGGCATCGCTCAAGATGAGTGACTTCCAGGTGTGCTGGGCATCGATGGCGACTGCATTGTTCTTGGGCGCACTCTTATCTGTCTTGGTGTCAGCTAATGGGGCCCTTGGCTTGAGAATTCGCCCTCGTAGTTGGACAACGTGTATCGACTCTACGTACACAATTGGAACAGCGCACCCAGGTCTGAAGTTCCAGGTATGGGTGAAGCCTTGGAAGGATCTATTCGACCATCATTCAAGCCGCAATTTAGCATTAGCCTTGCTGTCAGTGTTTCATCCGGGGCTTTTCTCTTGTCTTTGCCATCTTCCCAAGCTTTCGAAGATGTTGTTGGTGGTCCCGACCTATCTCTCAGATCTTTCGGCCTTGCTGCGCCCTTCTCTCTCGCTCCCCGTGTGTCTACCCTCTCTCTCTTATTGGCCTTCTTTTTCTTGATCCGAGGTTCGGATATCCGGAATCGGTTCTTTAGCTTCTTCTTCGCCATGGCCGTGCTGATCGAAGAATGTTGAGACGGGTTGATCTGCGGTCCAGCCATCTTCATGTCGAAGTGATTGCGCATCACCAGCCGCCGGATCATGCATCGTTCCGCACCAGCTGGGTTATATGGCTTATCCGTCGTTACAAAGAATTCGTACTCGCGCTCCATAATTTTCGTGAGCCTTGTCAATAGATCTGATGCGTGGGAGGCGTCTTGCAGCACTCGGGTAGCGAGTATGGGGCTCTAAAGTACACGGGTATGAACAGATATCTTGCGTCGAAGTAGAGAGACGGTGGCTGTGCGTTTGAGGTATTCGCCGCACACGAAATGCAACCCGTCGGCCTCCGACTACCACACCTCGTCATGTGTCACCATGCGCTTCATCGGCCGAAGCAGCGACCTATGCCCGAAGATAAGCTCGCGTAAGTGGTATCGAGTCCATGTAATTCATGTTGGTAGGCTTATATAAGACCTACTCTGATTACGGCAGCGGGGTTGGCATGCGAGGCACCGTGCTATTGGACAACAGCCACATACGACATGCGCCTCCAACGCGACAAGCCTCGGGCTTTCCGCCGATGTTTGAAGCGGCTGAAACGGGAACGCAGGGGGCCAAATCTCGTATCGTCATAACCAAGAAGCAATGCGTATGCCTGGGTGACGAGAGATTGTAAAGTGGTGTAACCCCCGTTCCAGTATCCGCGCTTGCACAGCTGGGAGCCTTCCTACCTAGGTACTATAGCGCTTTGGGTGGACACAATGTCTATGCACTACCTGGGCATATCGGCTTCTCCAGAGGACTCTTTGCCCCGCTACGCCTCCGCATCTGAGCCGGGGCGTCGTAGGAAGACGTGGCACCAGTCGCGCCCGACGATCTGGAGATGCGCAGTGGCAGCCTCGCCAAACCCGGGCCTCGCAGCGCAGGACTCTCTAGCGAACTTTCAGCCCACAACTGCATCCCTTCGCGCTGTGACGCTCTCGAACGTCGCCAGTATCCGGATGCTTTCTGCAATTCTGCCTTGCCCAGGCCAGGTTGCAAAACCAGCTTGCGCAGTCTCACCGGAAGAGGACAGCCCGCCTGAGGCAGCGTCTATCGAGGCAGAGCTGCGAAAGACTTAAACTTTCCAACAGTGTCATGTAACCTTTTCATCCACGCGTCGACCACCATGGACATATCGAGCCCTGCCCAAAATTTTGTCAGCGAGCTGAACAGGGATCTGGACACGCATTTCTCCCGCGATCGCACAAATGACTACGACCGTGTCGTGTGCCTCATCATCTATTGGGCGTGCGCCCAAACAGACTACAAGAACGAGGCTGTGCAAGTCCAGTCTTTCTTCACCTCCGAATTAGGTTATAGGGCTGATCTGTACGAGATTCCCCTTCTCGAAAAGAATGGTAGCCACCTGGCAGTGGACAACAGAATCCATCGATTAGTTGAATCTTTACAAGAACCGCGAAGTCTGGCGATCATTCACTATGGCGGCCATGGAGACGACGACTTAGAGAAAGACGAAAAAGGCAGACGGCCGCGACGGTCGGTCTGGGCAGCTAGAAGCGAGTTGAACAGTCCGAAAGTGTACTGGTCGGACATACAACCAAGACTTCGATATGTGAACGGGCACGTTCTACTCATTCTGGATTGTTGTTTCGCTGCCCAAGCTGCGAGAGCTGGAAATGATCGTATCATTCCACCAAACGTTGAGATGGTCGCAGCTTGTGCTATGGGTGTAATGACTGTTTCTCCAGGGGAAAGATCATTCACATCAAGATGGCTCAAGGAGGCGAGGGACCAGCTCGAACGCAACAAACACATTCGCGTATCCGAAATCCATGATGCGCTTCCGAATCGAAGTAAGAAAGTAATGGAAACTCCTCTACATTGGGGCCTTAGTAATGGCTCAATACGACTCGATCCTCTTCCCAAAGCAAATTCGTCTTTGCTCGCTCCCAAAGGAAGTGGTGGTGGTGCGTTGACCCTTCGCATCCTGACCCAGAGTCCTCTAGACGAATCCACCATGGACGCCATTCTTTTCTGGCTCAAGAACGAGGCTCCTCGGGGCATTGCGTCTGTAAGGATCGAGGAGTTGACCACTCTTACGTCCCAGCTACGTGGTTTCGTGCTTGAAGATAAGGAATGCGGAAGATCAGTTGCAGCAATACATACCCTGACGGAGAAGTCCCAGACTGAGGTTCGCAGTACTTGGGACACATTCAAGATTAGACTGGTTTCAGCAGTTCAGAGTCTGGCGGCTGGATTGTTGATAGAGAGAAGTCAGGACGAGACTTCCGACGACATCGTCGCGAGAGAATTCCTCAACAATTACGAAAAGAACTTGCAAGCACTTCAACGAGTTGTTCAGAGAGGTGTCCTTTCACATCCCCAGCTTGATGATCAAGTGTTTTTGGCTTCGGCTATTGAGGACATGACCCTCAAGGACCTCAACATCGTCGCCATCTTACGCGCACGACTTCACGCGAACTTTGAGGGCTCAGTCTCTCCTACTTTAGAGAAGAGACCACCCGAAACTCGATTCCAAGGAAGTCCCGACTTTCGCGTACCACTTCATATGGAAGAACGACCAGATTTCAATGGCATCGTTCTGGTGGAGTATAAACCCTACGAAAGGATTGAGCCAAGCAGCATTACTCTTTGTGAGCGGCGAGTCGCACAGCTTGCCACCGTTCTGAAAGACTCCGAGCCATCAACCTTCCACACCCCGCAATGTCTAGGGTGGTTTCACGAGAAGGTCGAGCAGTGTTTCGGTCTGATCTTCCGACCTCCGCGCGCCGACTTTCGCCGGCCGGTGTCTTTGCGCGAGATCCTGGAATCGCCCAATCCCGTCCCCGGCTCTAAAGAGAGGCCACCAAAAGGCGCTGAGAAATACAGGAAACCCGACCTCGGAGAGCGCTTTGATATCGCAAGGAAGATATGTAAAGCTGTCATACAGTGGCACAGTGCTGGTTGGCTGCATCAAGGCATCGCAAGTCACAACGTCGTGTTCCTTCAAGCGGCCGATGGCAGTCTCAGGTACAATGAGCCCTTTCTGTGCGGCTTCGAGTTCAGTAGAGAACACAACGAGCTTTCCAGAGACTTGCTCTCTTACAAACCAGAGCTGGATGTTTATCTGCACCCGGATCGCCAAGGAAGACCCCCAAAGACATCGCACACGCAAAATCACGACTACTACTGTTTGGGGTTGCTCTTTTCGGAGATTGCTATGTGGGATTATGTCCCTAACATTCTTCACAAATACATCGACAAAAAGGGTGCCGGTATGGTACAAGATAAGATGAGGAGCGCAATGAAAGGTATGCTGCGTCATTCCATGGGCACAGCCTATGAGCAGGCTACCATCTTATGCTTGGAAGCGAACTTCACTCCCGGAGCTGGAGGCGCAAAGAACGGGGTGGTCGAAGAATTCGAAAAAAGTGTTTTGACGAGGATCGAGGCAGACCCAACCCAAGAACTATACAATCGATGAGCTAGCCTGGAAACAGGTATGATAGCCTGCACGTCTGTATCTTCAACCAACTGAGCTCAAGGGCAGGGTTTCAAAGTCGATTCAGCCACTGTAATCCCTCCTTCTACTGAATCGCCTTCTTCAGAACACAATGTATATTGTCCGTCCCTAGGTCTCGAGGCAATTTGATATGGTCCTTTCATCACGTTCTGACCAGGTGGGGTATAATAAACCGAATCACCCCTTACATAGCGAGTACCCTAGAAGAAATTAGATGTGTGCATGTGTGAACTGTTGCGGGTGGCAGGCTGACTCCGGTCGCTGAGATACTGGGTCTATTTCCGAGGCTTTCCCGATCGGGTGTTGGAGAACGGCTATACGAATTAGGCGATGCATGAAATGGAGACACGACAAGCTTACTTTTCGCGAGCACTAGTCATGTTGCTGTTGTAGGCGGACTAAACGCAGAAGTAGAGAGAAGACGAACTGGCCAAAAGCTGTGGCTATCAAACTGGAGACTGCTGGAAAAGGCGGGCGTTTTAACTGTAGTGTTAGCACAAGGCAGACCTATGCCCTCAAAAAGGCAGCCGCCGGTGAGAGAATTGGGCTAATCACCTAATACATATAGAGCTAGGGTCATGTCGCCAAGCATGCACATGCAATGTAGGCGCATGCAGGTAGGAGGACGAAGCAGGCTGTACGGATCATAGCTATGGAGGTTTTACCCGTTGCAACATGTAAAAGCACAGGGTTTCACAGGAACGACCAGCTTGTGCGATCATATCTCGTATCACATGAGCCATCCAATCATGACGACCTACGCATCAACGAATAGTCAATATACTAGTAAACTGAACAGGTACCTGCTTCTTGGCACGATGCTAAAGAATACACAGTCGAGGACTTTCCAGACGGATACCCAAGATTTGCTGCCTTGATCAGCACGCATCCCTCTTTCCATGTATCAAGACGCTTCCTACGTCTACGGGGCCGACTCATGCTCTACAAGCAAGACAGTCTGGTCGCACTCGAGGAAAAGCTAGATCGAATCGACAGAGAAGAGCCTCGTGTTATCTTTCTGGGCGATCGCCGCCGCGATAAGAACGAAGAGCGTAGAACCGCCATGGATGAGATCGACAAAGAGCTCGCGTCGTATGGTATGCTATCACCTTTACTGCATAATATATGCATTTTGTTGAATAAAATGCTGAACCTGTCCTCACTAGACGCTTTGGTGAAAAGAAACAGTGAAATCCTTTGCATGGAAGCTGCAGCGCAGAGAGACATCACAAACATCAAGAATTGGGTGCGAGAAACAGGCTGTATAACGCAGAGCGAGATGGACTACTTGAACCATCCACAAGACCTGATGGCCGTAGGGGCGTCTACGACCGACGGAGCGTTGAGCCAACTACAAGGCCCCGTGGAAGATCTGGTCAAATGGTTACTAACGCGCTTCCGCAGCCTCGAAAGACTGGTGAGCAACATCAACCGCAAGGACCCGTTTTGACCATGAAGATTGATTGTTGAACGCAGGGACTCCGTCGGAAGATTTCCGAAGACACCCGCATATTCATCCTGCCCGACAGCTGGGCGAGTGCTATAAGCAGATCGACGATGTCGTGTCTACTCGGGCTTACCATAATTATCCCGGTGATAGTTGTGGAAAAGATACATGAGCTCGTACCCCGTATCATCGGGTCTTTCTTCGGTACGACTGCTTTCATTGCGTTGCTATCCTTTGTGACCAAAGCAAAGACGGTTGAGATGTTCATTGCTGGTGCGACGTAAGCCTCCCTTGCATAAATACCTGTGAAACGTTTTTGACAATCCAAACCATGCAGTTACGCGACGGTGCTCACGGTTTTTATTTCAGCAGACGGATCTGACTCTTTCGCACCATCCCGTCCTTGCCATTGCTCATAGCAACTACTGTATCTAAGCAAGGGGTCGGAGCGCATGATGTGATGCGTAAGGTGGGCTGGGTATCGGGCAAAGATCATTTCGCTGTACAATGTATTGTCGAAGCTATGAGAAGGCATTGGAAGCTAGGGTTTCATTCCCCTGCTTAGCCAAACATGTACCCGATTCGAGTCCATGGCATGTAAGTCGCCTTGTCGTTTTCATGTTTGGGCCTTGGTCGTGTATTGAGTCTTCCTCCTGACTCCTTTCTGACGTACTTTTCGGCCCATAAAGTCACAAATACAAATAACAGTTGCGCTCTACACCATGAAGGTTAGTCAGTACGGTCAACGATGCGACAGAAAGGTTTCTTACGCAGGTACGGCTATCAGCAATCCCTCGAGAGGTTGGGACAGGCTCCCAAAGATTGCTATCCAGCTGCTTTGTTGTGGCGAAAAGTCGTCAAGCGGGAAATCTGGGAAAAGCATTCCTTGCTCGGGCTGAAGCAGATAGCACAGATAGCAGCAACCCGCTGTAACGAACAAGGAGAAAGATGCTTGCATCAATACAAGTATTCTGTCATACCCGTGGTACTGTGGCCTGCAGCTTCGGTACAGTACCGACAGTACGGAGAAGATGTGACGTGCGATAAGAAACAGATTCGCCTAGACATATGCCGTCAGTGACCGATGTCGTGTATCCATTGTGTACCACTACTCACCATGACCAGACAGATAATCACGTATATCTTCCGGTTAAGAGGGCACTCGGTACCTGGTACTTGATGTATCTTGATGAAGTACGCAATCATCGGGGCCATGAAGCACCATCCGATGACGAAAGACACAAGATCCAATGATCCGCGCGTCCTGCACCAGGGCACGAACTCCAAAACAAGCGGGCGATAATCCTGGAATCGGTTCTCTCGGAGCCAAAGACTAGCTCTTTTCCATTCCCGCTGTTCCAAGTTGCCGTAACATGCGTAGTACAACTTCCATGGAAAGAATAGCCACGTGCTACTGCACCGCTCAAGTCGACGTTCTGCCCACTCATCGTTGTGACAGTCTTCGAGGTAGTCAAGCATGGCTTCTCTAGTTGCTTCGTCAGCGATGTGAGATACCCCGACCGCACGCTGGTTGTGTGCATAGAGCACCAGGTATCGATAGTCGAAGCAAAACTTGCCGGACCCCAGTATGACTTCCACGGCTTTGATATTGCCCATTGCAATGGCAGGTTGCATGCCGCTATAAGAATCCTTAGGAAAGAAAATGTGTTCAAAGAAGTTGGTGTTTAGCCGTATCTTGTGCGTGTAGCACTCGAGTAGAACCCGTAGCACTTCCAGAGATTTTGTGGAGAACGGGTGATCACAGCATCCAAACCGCTCCAGTCTGTTAGGCTCCAAGCGCATCTCTGGCTCTCGCGCAGGAGAGATTGTCCCAGGACTTAGCAATTGTTCCAGCGGCGAGTAGGTCAGTAGGCCTGTCCCAAACAGAGTATCTGTGAATGTCCAGCTGATGAGAGGCTGGTGCTGACGCTCGAGAGCAGCGCATATTTGTTTGATCGCTCGCACCGATCTCCAGGCCACCGCTGCGCCCAATGGGGTGTAGCCATCTACATCGCGAGCAACGATGTCAGCGCGAGCATCGATCAAAGTTCTGATCATCTCGGTGTGTTCTCGAAGTGCCGCACAATGTAGTGGCGTCCTCCAGTTACTGTCTCTAACATTGATCGCCTTAGGGTTCGTTTTCAAGATTTCTTTCGCGATCAGCACTGATTCTGCGCTTGGATACAAGGCACAACAATGCAGAGCGTCGCCACGCATTTCAGGCCATACGTTGTGGTGCCTGGATCCGGCATTCATGAGCATGTCGTATACGTCCTTACGCCTGCGAGTGATCGAGATTCCCAGTGGGGAAAATCCTTCCGGTGATATGTCTTCAAGTGCATCCGACCCAGAAATCTTGCGATCTTCTAACAATAGTTCCAAAACAGCTAAATGGGAGGTAGCAGTGGCTACGTGCAAGCAGTTCAAATTTGTACTGTCATCCGCCGACAAAGGGAAACCAGCATCGAGAAGCTTGCGAACGATTTCAAGCTGACGACCAATTACCGGTGTGACGTCACCGTCGGTGCGATCGATGTGGGGAGTGAACAAGGCGATACGGAATAGGAAGTCGGCTCGCACTGCATAGGACAGCGGGTTGACGCCTAGGTCGTCGAACGGTCGCTCAGGCTTGGATCTGAGCTGCTCGCAAAGGTAGCTGACGCAGTCGATGCTCTGATATCTCGCCCCCCAGGCCAGCAAATTCACGAGTGTCTCTTCCTTTCTTGGTTCACTCTGTTGCCCGATCCTGGGTTCTAGCAAGCCTTTTAGTAGGTCAACGCGATCAAGTAACACGGTCAATGATGCCGGAGATACGTTCGAGGGTATCCGATACACAGCGGACCCTGAAATCGGTAATTCGCAGTCGCCCGTGGTGCACTGTAGCACGTCTGCTTCAGCCTGCACAAGGATGGCAATGATACTAGAGTTCAGCGTGAGAACGGCGTAGTGGAGAGCAGTCTCGCCATCATCCAGCGGAAGATTCACGTTCTCGCAATCTTGAACAAGGGCTCTGATTTCCGGCAGCTGTCCAAGCTTGATGGCCGCTATCAATGGCATGATGCTGGTGTCTCCACTGATAGATGTAACATTGCTTTTGAGCAAGCGGCGCTCGCTTGCCGTAGACACAGAATCATGAGAACGGCTTTGAGTGAGAAGTCTCCGCGAGGCATCCAGGCTAGACAGTTCCAGGTTGTCGTTGGTCCAAGTAAGAGATAGATGTTCAATCCCTGGGTCGAGGGCGACACCTAGGGCAGCTGCGACACTCCTGAGAAGCAAGCGAGCTTTCCAGAAGCCTCCCTCCGCAGAACTGGAAATCAGCCGGATTGCGTGTTCATAGTCGGAAGCGACACCGAAGCCAACCGCATGGCATAAACCAAGTTGGAAATGGATTTCGGCCTTGTTCCCCGCGCTGTTCGACGTCTCCAACTCTGTCAGAGCCTTCATGACTTGGTTGGGGATATACGACATGTCCACAAGGCCGAAGTACTGATGCATAAGCTGCAGGAAGTCAGAAATCGCACCTAGAATCCCAGATATACTTACATCAAAGAAGGGTATGTCGCGCAAGGGAGAAGTCTGGTAGAAATGTTGAGGAGCTCGAGCGTTGAGCGTGCTATGAAGTGAGTCAGCTCTAAATTCCATAGTTGATATTGGTAATGCCAAAATGAGAGGCATTGGCTTCGACTCACTCATGCTGCGCAATGCACCGCACACGAGGGACGAGCGATGCAGCGGTCGGACGAAGCCGTGGATCGTCTTGAAGAGCTTGATCAAGTAGTTCGAGCACTGCCGCGAATAACGGTCGCTCATCCCTGTGATGACTCTCGAGATGCGCCTTGCAGCCACGCCGAGCTGAATCTGCCACCTTTCCAGCATCACGCAAGTTCCGCATACCGACTAAAGTAGATGGTCTTTCTCCGTCAAGAAGGACCTCCCACAACAGCATACCCCAGCACCAGATGTCAGCTCTTTCTGCAATGTCGCCATAGAAAGTTGCCCGAGGTCTGGCCAATTCCGGTGGTCTGTAGAAGTCGGTGCCAGGAAGCTGCTCCCTTCTAGTCGTGGGCGAAGAATGTTGTGCGTGTATGACAGAGTGACTGAAATCGATCATCTTGGCTGTCCAATTCTCTGCAGTACCATTGGCATTTCTGTACACTAGCACGTTGCCACTTTTGACGTCGCCATGGATAATACTGCATGAGTGTAGGTCCTACCAGGCACGATCAGAACATTCCACGTAGGGTGCTAACACTCATCGACTTACACAGATGGCTTCGAGAACATTGCTGAGCAGGCGCACCTTTGCGAGCAGAGAAATACGTTTCAAACATGACGCCCTATATTGCACAAAGTCGCCGATTGTACCCAGGTCTGACTTTTCAGTTATGAGAATAGGCCACTCATGCGTATCTGCAGTGTGCGTTTCCTCACCAACTGCTTCTGACGCCATGTCCTCTTCCCTGATCCAAGCGAGTCCTATGAAGTTGGCGATGTAAGGATGTTTCTGGAGCGGCGGATGACACAAGATCCTCAACTCCTTGAGTAGACCCGAGAAAAGACGTTGTCTGTTCCCTCGCCCTTCTGCATACAGACTCTTGTATGCAACGACCGTGTCGTAACCCCATCTGATGCCGGTATGGTCGGTGATAAAGCCATGACGTAGACCCTTGCTGATGTCGTAATATTGCAGGTCTGAAACGGCTTCTCCTACGGGCAGATCAGCCTGTTCGACGTCGAAAGTAGTACCACGGCCTAGGCGCTCTCGCGTGTTCCACTTGCGGCCTCGGATGACCGAGAAAACGAATACGTTGTAGTGCGCAATAAGTTGTAAGCATAGAAGAAGGGGGTAGTTTTCGAATACCACGTCGTCAATAGGGTGGCTGCTCGCGTTGATACTACGTGGTTGAGTTGTAAACGCGTCGGAAGATTGGAAGTCGCGTCTTTGGTTTTCGCGTCTGCGACGGTCGTAGTCACTGCCGAAGGAAGAGCTGCTTGTCGTCGTGTTGCTGATAGGATGCAACTCGTGACCTACGACACTCATACTGAGGGCGCCAGCAATCACGTCCGATTGAAGAAGATAGTGCGTGTAGCACTTTGGAGATGCAGGTTTAGGCAGCCACCCAGCCTGGACGCGATTGCCAAGCTACCTGCAGCCATGTCAGCAACTTCAGCCGCAACAGATTTGCTCTCCCAATCATCGTTCAGAAGCCGCATCAACGTTGCTGCAGTGCAACCGATGCGCGCAACCCAAATTGCATTTCGGTAATATCTCTACTTTACATCCATCACACCTCTGGTGCCACAAACTAGATGCGACTCCATGACCACACACTGTCGACTACTGCGTTATCTGTGCATCTACTTTCCTTTGTCCTCTCTCAGACTCACAATCTGGTTGAGCACAATCTTGTCCTCTGTGGAATCGATATCGACGCAGAAGTAAGCAGTGCGTAGCGCCTGGAAGCGCACAAGCGCGTCCGAAGATCCGCTCAGATCCAGTGAAGTCTCGCTGATGAGGTCCTTGATACCCCGCTCGATGACTGCCTTGTCATGAATGATTTCGGAGTTGGGATTGAGATCGTCAGCCCAGCCGCCCGTCTTCCAGTCCAGTGTGTTGGGCGACTCAGTCTTGAAGAGCGAGTTGTATAAGCGTGCTGTGACGGGAACAGCTGTTGCGACGTCCACCCATTGAATGTAGGCTTTGGGCTTCTCGGTACCTGGCACCTTGACAGCCTTGATCTCAGACACGTTGCCGTTTTCATCCTTAGAGAAGGATGTCGCACGGATCGCGAAGGGGAGGTTGTATAGACCAACGGCCTTGTTTGGCGCCAGACGGAAGTAGTCGGCGCTGTCTTCTTCTCTGAAGTCGCTGCGGTCTATGTAGACCGCGCTCCCAATCTTCACCTTGCGCTCGCCGGGTATGGTGCCCTTGGGATCGTAGGGTACTGTTATCTCTTGTTCGTCTTCGGTCGCAAAGTCTTCGATGACTACTTTGATAGGATCGAGCACCATCATCTGGCGTGGCACGGTTCGCTCGAGGTGTTTGCGGATTGAAGCTTCGAAACGTGGAGGCTCGATCTCCGAAAGCGCATCCGTGACGCCGAGCTCGTCCACGAAGTTGAGCATGGCCTTGGCTGGGATGCCGCGACGGCGCAGCGCAACCATGGTGAAGAGTCGGGGGTCGTCCCACCCTCGTACTACACCAGGTATCTTTTTGGTCTCGACTGTGCCATCCGCGTTCTTCTTTTCGACAGTTGTGCCTTCGACGAGCTGGAGGATGCGTCGCTTCGAGAGGATCGTGCCGCCAACGCTTAGGCGTCCGAACCTACGGGAGATTAGCATGGGTGAGTCTAGGTGGGAACCGTCACTTACTCTCGCTGCATTGGTCCCTTTTCCTCCGACTTGGGTACTTTCATGTCCAATTGCTCCAGTAGCCAGTCGTAGGAAATACGCGACTGGCGGAACTCGACTGTACACAACGAATGGCTGATTCCCTCGAGAGCATCGCAAATGCAGTGGGTGAAGTCGTAGGTAGGGTAGATTCTCCACTTGTCGCCAGTTCGGTGGTGGTGGTTCTCTTTGACAACGCGGTAGGCGGGCAGATCCCACATCTGCGGGTTGCCCTCATCCGGGTCCGTCAACTTCTGCTTCATGCGCAAGAAAGCCTCTCCAGCCTGGTATTTGCCATCGCGCATCGCCCGGAATTCGGTGAGGGACTCTTCGATCGGCCGCGTGCGGTGTGCGCAGCCATAGCGCTTGCCTCTGTTGTCGGGTCCTCCGCGCTGGTTGTTGATTTCCTCGCCTGCGTCATAGTCAGTACTGCGCAGATGCACATAGATATGCAGACTTACGTGAGCAGTGGCACACATAGGCGCCGTTCTTCTTGATAAGCTGCTCTGCAAGCTCGTACAGCTTGTCAAAGTTGTCGCTGCTGTATGTGATCTTCCACGGCTCGAAGCCTAGCCACTTGACGATATCCAGGATAGCCGTGAAGTAGATCTCGTCCTCCTTCTCGGGGTTGGTGTCGTCGTATCGCAGGTAGCACTTGCCATTGTGATGCTTTGCGAAGCCAAAGTCGACGGCGATGGCCTTGGCGTGACCGATGTGGAGGAAGCCGTTTGGTTCGGGAGGGAATCGGGTTCTGACTTCTGACACGGGCTTCTCTTCGTAGATGCGCTTCAGCCAGCCCTCAGAGAAGATGCTCGTCGGCTCGCTCTTTGTGCTGGGCTTGGCCTGCTCTTTGGGTCGGAGGGCATGCTCGGCCTTCTTGGCCTTTGCCGCTGCTTTCTTCGCGGCCTTCTCGAGCGCACGCTTCGAAGGGCCCTTCTCCTCCTCGGCGGCCGGTGGAGCAGGAGCTGTAGGTTCCGCCATGTCTGCGCGACGTCAGTACACGTGTTGTCGAAGGTGCGTTGTGCGGGATGTACACGTGACTTTACAGCAGAAAGAAGACGCGTCGAGTTCGTTACTTACCAGGAAAGTGTCGATGTTGCGGAGCTCGTGTGCTGCGGGAGGGGCTCTATCAATAACTTTGGAGGGGCATTGACTCAAACGCGCTACACCAGCCACACCCCTGACGCCACACCTACACGGCACCTCAACTTTCCCACCTGTCGCCCTTCCATCACACACGCTGGACCACTCATCCCCGGATCGTGATCGGATGCGCTTTAATCGAATTCCTAGTCTACACGGCTGTCGGCGACCCCAAAAGCCTCATTTGACGTGCATCAGGAACCCGATACCTTCACGACACCGCCCTCACGACCAGACTTATAAACCATTTAGCAGTCGAGAATGTCGAAATCACAACGAACGTACTGTGAACCTCTCGTCACGGCACAGCTACAGTCACGCTACAGCCTTGATATGTTGAGACATGGAATGTACTGCGAAACAAGACCATGAACACAACACAAAGCGGATTCAGAGCTTGGACACGAATCCGGCAACATGATATCCAGGATTGACATAAGAATACTCTAGTGGTAGCTATGGATTCGACTCGTGTACGACTAACTTCATCTCCGACAGTGTTTCCAGCTTCGACATGCAACTTCGCCCCTTCCAAAGCATCGTCAACTCTGCAGGTCGGAAATGCCGTCCTTCGGCATTGGCACGAGGCATGGAAGGTGCACTTGGAGCTATGTCAACTTCAATCTCCAGACGTGAAACATGCAAAACAGCAAAACTCAGCGACCAACATGCCACTCCTGGTGCACACCCGATCCTTAACTATTTCTCACGACAGATGCTCAACGCGCGCCAATCTTTATATCGCTCCTTGTTTCGCACACGCTTTCCTGCCCAACGAGTAGCATCAAAATTCCCATCGATGGTGACCACAAGAAACAAAAACTATACCTACGACAACGTCCCCCAGGAACAAGGCGGAATGGGGACAGCAACAGAGACACTCGATGATCGGCGAGCAAGACAGGCGCGTCTTCTCCTTTCGAAACACTACGAGCCCGTCATCTCTGAGGTACTCAACGAAGAGATACCCAAGTACAAGAATGGCACTACCATCAGTGCAACAGACCGTGTGAAGTATATACGAGAATGCGCACGAATACTCGCTTCAGAACCGCCTATCCTACTAGCCGCAGTCGACGGCGACTTGGTGCGCCGGATTCGGACTGATCCTGATTTGGAGCGAGAATACGACCTCATCTGCAAGAATGCAGCAAAGCAGCCGTCTATCTACATACACCAATTCGCAGACCTGAATGGTATTCCGCCTACTCCTAATCAAATACTTATCATCTGCAACTGGATAGCCGACTACATAGCCGATAATCTGGCAGAAGGCAAAGCTTCCGAGCACTTCTGGCAGATAGACAACGTCTCCCCTGGAAGACCGCTGATTGATCAGCAAAACTCTGCCAAAGGCCACCGTAAGTATCTCTACACGACACATTCCAGTCGATCAAAGAAGCGTGTCGGTACCCTCGAACTTTTCTGTCAAGGTACCCAGAAACGTTGGCAGGAGACGCCAGCATCACTACGCGATACACCCCTTCGATATCCACTCGGGGAGTGTGGATATTCTGAAAACTCAGAAAATCGTCTAAAAGAGCACCGCCAACGGAAGTCATCCAACTATATAATGAACCTAGTCGAGGACATATCCACCCACCTCCACGACATCGGCTTGTTTGAACAACACTTCAAAATGCACCAGTATATTGTCTATCTCATCGACCGGCGGGAACAAGTAGAGATCGCGGAGATCTTTTGCTCCGCATTACTTCGAGTGTGGGTGAGTAGCGGCGGTGGTTTCAACTCGTACCCTGCTGGGCTTAGCGTCAACTCTTCGAAGAAGGTCAGCAACATTGACTGGGCTTCGTACGAGATGAACACCACATTGCACTCCCCCATCACCGAAAACATGAGGCTGCAGCAGCTCAGAGCAGATGAGTACCGGCAAGCACTGGAGTGGACGAATGACAACACTGTAGATTCGGAGACGAGAGAGCCAGCAAGCCAGGAAGAAGAGTGCATGTAAGTTTGACTACTGAAGGGCTCAGATCAGGTACTGACGTAGCGATTCTAGTGCTCATCTCTCACAGCTGTCGATGTAAACCTACTACCCTCGACCATGACTGCTATATCCTAATATACTTCTCATCACTAAACCTTGCCACATTGTATGAATTCGAAATGATTCCTACTCCAGATATCACGATGTCCATTCTGTTGTGTCGCAAGTGATGTTCCGAGGTCGCCCCCCTTCGAGCCCCATAATCCCACGTCACAGTGTCGTGTATGGCCACTCTTTCAGATCAAACCAGAAAGAGCGTATCTCGCTACCAAACACAACGATCGGGTGCAATGCAGGCAAATCTGCAACGTCGCTTCTCGAAGGCCACTATTTCAACCTCCTGCATTAACCCGAGTGAATGTCATAGCATCGCCACATTACCGATCATCAACCATGTCTATGTAAGTCATCAACTTCAATTTTTCAGAAGACACAGCACTTTTTTCGGTTCATCTCGAAGATATAGAGCACCGCGGAGGTATTCGCAATGTTCAAAATCCCAAAATTCCATAAATCACTGTGTAGACATTATGACCGTCCATTTGTCTAGAGCAATCTGTATCGCACATCAGACGGTTACTAAAAATGAGCAGAACATTCGAACACCCCCGATCCTACCCTGCCGCCTTGCTTAAGAAGCGCCACTCCCTCCCCTCCCATCTCCACATCTTCGTCGAACGACCAAGCCGACACGCAATACGCTCATCACGAGACTTCAACTACGATGCCCTCAACAAGTCCAGCATCGAAGCCCATTTCCAGCGCAACGTCGCATCGAGCTTTATCTCATTGTACGAGAGCAAAGCCACTGCCTCGAGCAAATATCCTCACACCGATAAAGTGGGACAAAAACCGCGGTCATTCGATGCCGCTGAAATGGCTATCCACACCAGTGGGCTGACAGCGGCATGGGTGACCGTAGACAAAGACGTCCGTCTTCCAGTATGGTTTGACAAGAACAGACAGGAGTCCGACAACGCAGACGACGAAGAGGTACTGTGGTTTTGCCTTCAAGAGCTGAAAGCAGTACTACAAGTAGATGAGAAGCTTGGGGAGAAGGACGAGTGGCTTGCCTGCGGGTTCATCCCCGAAAGTAGGGTTGTCACTCGTCACGATTCATCGAATGAGGAGTACCCAGAGGGGGTGGTCAACGACAAGGAAATAGAAGAGGCTTATAGACAGGCTCGCCGCGACCGCCAACGTATCGAAGGGGAGAGGCTTCAAGTCGACGTGCCGGAATCTGAGCACAGACTCAAGAAGACGCTGTCTTCGGGCTTCTTGAAAGCCCCTCAGATCCCCAGCCGGAAAAGCTCTCTTGTCTCGCTGGATGGCAAGGCTGTGAGCCAGTCCAAGAAGACAGCTACTGGGGCTTCAAAGCTTCGCGTAGATACGCGCGACGTGTCGGTCTCGCTGACGAATGCGGATCCACGGCGCGCAGCGTCGCTGATGAAATATGCGTTGTTGCTGGCGCATGAAAAGAGGTTTGAGGCAGAGGAGTCTTGGCTTTCGGAGACGACTCGTTTGGCTGGGGGTGTAGATCGGGGTGACAGTACGAGGACAATCGATGATGTGGGTCGTAGAGAGAGGCGAAGCGGGTTTGTAGAGCGTCATAATGAGGCCTACTTGACGCCGCCACAATCACCAATTACCTCATCTGGACGAAGGGGCATGCATGAGCGAAGGGGTCGTAATGGTGCTGATAATCCAGTCAAACGATACGAAATCGCTCGACAAGATGATGAACAATCAGTCCAGGAAAGGGGAAGACGTATGCGTCGCTCTGCCGCTCCATCGCCCTCGCAGTCTTTGCTAGGACATCATCTTGAAGGAGGCAACGCGTCTTCGCTTCGACCGCGTCTTTCGCGCCGTGAGCTCCTCTTGGAGCTGCAATCAGACGAAGACTCTGTTCTACGAGAGTACGCAAGAGTCAGTCTGCAGGATCCCTCTTCCCACCACCACACCCGGCACGACACGCCTAATGGCGCACCCTCAACATCGACGGCCCCGGGAACCCAGCAACCACCCAACCACACCGCCCAGGGTGCAGGTAACGATGAATTTAGCCCACCAGATGAATCGGTCTACTCCACCATGTCGTCTCTCTCCTCCTTGTCCGACCTCGCGCATGCTACCATCGAGGAGGCCACGTACGCTACCGTCCATCCTGGCTCCCATGTTAGGGAGATCGAGATACGGAGAAGGAAGTCGAGGCCGTCGTCTGCGGAGGCGAAGTTCAGCGAAAAAGAGGAGAGAGGGAGGAGTAGGAACGGACGGCGACAACGAAGAGTTTCGGGGGTAGCTGTAGAAACACCAGCGGAAGAGGATGTGGAACCTTTTCCTACTTTTGATCCGATCGTACCGGGTCACGTACAGCTTTCACGGTCTGGAAGCAATGTTTCTGCGGTTGCTGTTGTTCCTTCGGCATCAACACCGACACCTTCACCAGTGGTCTTGAAATCCGAATCTTTCTTTGCCAGAAGGAAGAAACTGTTCGAGAAGGGCAAAGACGTTTCTGAGCGTTTAGCAGAGGTACGGGAAAGTCCGGCTGCTCAGAAACCAAAGGTCATGAAAGATCTCTTGGAGTTTGCTGGGTGGAGATCTGGTGATAAGAAAGATGGGTCGAAGTGAGCAGGGATGAGAAATGACTTTTGTAGGGAAAAGGTGAGTTCATGACGAGGCGAGCGAGCTGCTGTTAGAGTTCGCTAACGGGTACTCGGATCAGCGAAAGATGGAGGTGCAAGTCGAGGAGAAGAAGAGCGTCTCATCATCGCCAAACCACAACATCCAAGAAAGCACCACTCACACTCGCACCTGGAAGATTATCATACCAAAACGTCGCGGTGGTGAGGCGTCCGTCCCCAGTTTTCTCGAAGGTTTCCACTCGGACAAGCCAACCGCCACCAACGAAACCACGACTCTACCCGCCTATCCGCATCCTACGATCCCCAACCCACATTCCCACCCCACAACAATTCGCACCGTTACCCACCCCTGATCCTACATCCGCGCATCCCTCTACATCCGTGCTAGCTCGCCTCCATCCCATCCCCAATGCAAACCCCTGCCTTACCCGATTTACCCGGAAGCAGTAAAACGCACGGATCCGCACACCCCAATCGAGCAATGACGTGCCGAAAGCAGTGCTGGCGAAAGTTGGCAGCGAGGCATTGGACGCGCACGTTCGGCGCCGGGGGCAATGCAGAGAAAAGTTGGCACCGTGTTCCATGGTGGACTTGTGAGTTACTGGATTAGGCATCTAGAGAAGATGACGACGGGGATGACGGTGGTTGTGACGTTGGAGGTGTCGTGACGTCGAGGGTAATTATAAATGTGGTGGACAATGCGTGCGAGAGATGGTGTAGGCGGACGGAGCGGAAGGATTGCGCGGTGCGGTGATTGGGTGTGGTGCAACATTAAAACTCCATCATCGATGTATTTGCAACATCGAGATTACCATATCGCGATGTTAGTTGATTGTTCGTGAAGTTATAAGTGCACTGGTGATGAATTGCTTGTTCACATGCTACTTCGTGTATTACTATGGATGCGTGAGACGTGGTGCTCACAATAGGCCCGACCTTGCCTGCCTGAATTCCCCAAAGGACCGTTTTCGTATGAAGACACCCCATCGCTGCTGCCTACGCATGTACTTTGCTTGCGCCTCTACGCGCGGCTTTGTAGGCAGTTGTATAGGCTTTAGCCGCGATCTCTGGTGTGCGACGATGACAGACTCTAGCCCCAGTGAGGTGCATCATGGTGGCTCCTGCGTTGTCGGTTGTCAAGATGATCGGACCGTGGCGGGGGCTTTGAGAAATCGATATTGTGACCATGCCCTATAACGGGACTGGTTATTGTTCGGAAGGATACTCCCTCGGAGCTGTTCATCCAGGTTGTGGGCTAGCCATGCCACCCTGGTAAGCACTGGCAAAGTCTAGTTGTCCCAGTTGGCCATTAATCTGGTCAATCTCCTTGTTCAGGTCTTCCACATTCTGCGCCAAACTGGATACTTCGTCGAATCTTCGGTGTTTGGTGGCGTCAGCGACCATTTCAGATACTATGAACTTCTGTTCCTCAAGTACAATCAACCGCTCTTTGAGTTCTTTCTCTTCTGATTCCATTGCGGAGACCTCGCTGCTGCTTACGACACTGCCAGTGGAGCGGTCGTTGTACTTAATGGACGCGAGAGCACTACCTCCATTCGTTCGACCTTGCGGGGCTGCATGCTTGAGGATCTTTGGTAACGCTCTGAGCGGTAGCATGTGTAAGCTCAAGAAGCTGTAAGCTTGCTGATATACTGCTCTTTGTAGCTTCTGCTGTGTCGGCGAGTCGGTGGGGAGATCTCGTATTCGTTTTGCGGCTACATCGAACTGTGCAAAGCCGTCCATTAATCGTTTGCGCACCTTGGTCGCGTCAGTCAACTGCTGCGGCGTGGGTGACTTGTCTGGGTCTTGCAAGGCCTGCAGGAGCTTGTGGAATCGTGGAAGGAGTAATCGGATGCCACGTTCGAATTGCGCAAGGTTCTCGTATGCACGCTGGTCCTTTGGCTTGTCGGCTAGCTCGCGCTCAAAGTCGCCTCTAGCGAACAACGTGTGCTGGCAGTCTTTGCACATGCGCACGTCAACACTCATCTGCGCAGCATCTTTTTCAGTCGTCTGCGTGCTAGCAACATTGAGACCTATCTCCGAGGAGCAGCCAGTCTTGGGGTCGCTGCACACGACGCGTCCGCACATGCGACAATGTGATCTTCTGAATGTGTATGTCGAGAACTCCTGCTGGCAGAAGGGACAGTTGGGAACTTTGGCGTCTTCCTCCCATGTGATGATAGATTGTTCCAGAGCCTTGCGCTGGTTCTTGACACCCGGCAGTGAAAACCAACTCCCTGCGGTCTGCGTTTCTTCTATCGGAGGCGGGTTTGCGAGAAGTTGCGTCAACTTGGTAAGACGCTTCTCGAGCCGGCTGACTTCCATGCGCTCTCTATCCACCCGTTTCCGTCTGATCTTGGCGAATTCGTCAAAGTGGTCGCGCTCGAAGCCGTGGTGATCGTTGTACCCGTCCCTCGACTTGTAGCATGTCTCGCACACGCGACACCAGACGCCTCGGACAGGGTCGTGCTTGGCCTGCCGCGAGAGCTTCATCTGGTACATGGTGTGTTCCTCGCAGAACAGCCTGCCACACTGTCTGCAGTTGACTGCTGGCTGACTTCCACCTAACGCCATTTGTGATGCTGTGACGGGCCTGGCGCACATGGGATCTGAGCAGACATCGCGGTAGCCAGGCCTCTGCCAATGTGATCGCGTGACTTCCTCCTCGGGGTCTCGGCGGACGGGTGCGGGTTCGTGGGGAACGTGG